AGTGTAGGGGATTAAGGACGTGTGACTGTTCTGCGAGGCTCAAACCGGTGATCTTCTGACCACAGGTACAGCAGTGGTCACAGGTACTTAGTCTGCTGAGCCGCTCTGCAGCCCCAGTGTGTAGGTCTCAAAGAAGATCAAGGTGAGATATGTGAAAAGAACCATTCCTATGTGCCTATACTCGCAACTAAGGCATCATCTTATTTTTATTCACCTGAAATACTGAACACAGACACAGGGATACCCAGGTCAGGCTCACAGGGGGAGCAGAAGTCTATCGCAGGCGGCACAGGGCACAAGGCTCTGGTACATTCTAGACATAATGCCAGAGACAAAATTCAAAGCAGCTATGCGTAAAACATGGAAAAAGATTCAGTGAAGTATACTTTAGGATGAAAGGAGCCCATCATCACATGAAAGGAGGCAGAATAAAAAAGAGCAGGGTTTAGAGTAGAAGAGCATGAAGAAGTGACACGTCAGCAGATTATGCTGAAGTCAGCACCATGTCCAAGGTTGCATAGATTAGACAGACAGACGGACAGACAGCCTGGCAGACAGACAGGCAGCCAGATAGACACAGAGGCAGGCAGACAGACAGACAGACAGATAGATGCAGAGGCAGGCAGGCAGACAGATAGACCCAGAGGCAGGCAGACAGGCAGGCAGGCAGACAGGCAGCCAGATAGACACAGAGGCAGGCAGACAGACAGACGATAGATAGATAGATGCAGAGGCAGGCAGGCAGGCAGACAGACAGACAGACAGATGCAGAGGCAGGCAGGCAGACAGATACACCCAGAGGCAGGCAGAAAGGCAGGCAGGCAGATAGACGCAGAGGCAGGCAGGCAGACAGGCAGCCAGACAGATAGATAGACACAGAGGCAGCCAGACAGGCAGCCAGACAGGCAGGCAGGCAGACAGACAGACAGACAGACAGATAGATAGATAGACAGATAGATAGATAGATAGATAGATGCAGAGGCAGGCAGGCAGACAGGCAGGCAGGCAGATAGATGTAGAGGCAGGCAGGCAGAGGGGATTCAGGTTATTAACATACATTAGTAGTTAGTGCTGTGGATGGCTGAGGTAACACTGGAAGAACATCTTATTTTTTTGTTGGTTGAAGTGAGTCTTTTGGCCAAACAAAGAGGGAATACTCACTAGTTCTGACAGATGCCGGAAGCTTCTTGCACTAGCGGGACAGCTGTATTAAAGAACAAAGTGTCAAACATCAGAGCAACGTCTGAAAGGTGTAGAGAGGGAAGAGGTAACTGGAGGGTACTGATATAGCGTGTGCTTCCCGGGACCGGGAAGGACGAGCGCGACAGAGCGGCACTGGGGAGCGGGGCAGAGACGGCACGCCAGTGAGACGCTCTTGATTTACAGGTCTTATGCAGCAGATGGGCCATGGGGCTGTGATTCAGACAGAGGATCTGGGAGAACATAAGGGAAAAGCCAACAGAGATGCAACAGTCTAGACGAGCTAAAGAGCTAAAGTCTGCAACCCAAGCCATGTGATGAGGGAGACCTCAGACTTTGTGAGAGAAACACAGGCCGGTATTGGGGGGGTACGGGCTGGAGAGGAATTGGCTATAGTCTTAGACTTGGAGGCAGAGACAGCCATGCCATAAGCTTCAGAGATATGCATGGCAAAGGATCAATTATAAGCGCCAAAGGGCCTGGAGAAGACGCACAATTATCTGTATTTTTCTGTGCGCAGCTTCCTGATTGGAGTGTAGTAGGAGGTCACATGACAGGTGACCACAGGCCGACAGGTGGAATGCACGCTTACCTGCTAATATTACCAGAGGATTCCTCTGTCAGATTTCTGACGGCCCAGAAGAAAGGAGTTCCTAATTCGCATGAAACGACGGTTATGTTTGGTTCCGCTTGCCTCGACAGGGCCGAAAAGCAGGCCACCAGCAAAAGCACAAATCAGTGAAGAGCAGGGAAGCACTGCCACCTACTGGCACAAATGGAATTGCACAAGAAGTTCTAAAACTTTTGAAATTTTGGGTGTATAAAAAATAACATAAAAATGTCTCCCACGTTACTATTTTCATAAATTTCTCATGTTTAAAGACTCTTTCAAACCCAGCAGTACTTCCAAAATACTTTCAACACCTACTCTGCAATCCTTTGCGAATCCTTCAGTTGTATAATAAATCAGTAAATATGTCACCATCAATGAAGACTGATCAAAGGCTTTGTGAAGGCACTCAGCACTTTGATATCATGCAGGGAGATGCAGGACGCAGTCGGCAACAATCACATCCTGCATGATAAAAACAATACAATGGTTAGATTTAACTACACCACAGGGTACTCAGTGTGCATATGCTTATTAAGCAATCACCACACACACTAAACATGATCTAACTATCTATCTACAACCTTCTCTAAATGGATAATCAAATACATAAAACTGCAACTTCAGAAAGTCTTCCACACACAGCATAATGTTTTTGCACAATTGCCTTCAACATGTATTCACAAAGCAGTACAGTGTTGTAGTCAAATTAGTATCTAAATAAGATATTAAGAAGAAAACATTTATATCCACGGAGCAGCAGTTAAGGACCAGACCTTAAACTATTAATAATCTGTTACTAATCATTTACTAATATAACAGTAAATAAAACAAAGATTTACTTACAATTACAAACAAAATATAGAAATGCATCACAAAGATATTACTCCTGCCTAACAATGTATTCATTATAACTGAGCTATAATTGATGCCCAATTACAATTCATTTCTGAACATGCCTACTGACCCATTACTTTATATTTGCAAGTGGTTTACAAGCTCTTTGGTAAACAAACAAGAGCAAGAGATAATTGTAACACATTTCTAATTTTGTTTGTGACTGAATCTTTCTATGAATATATTATCATTATTTAATAATAACCTGACCAGTTTAACGTTATGTAACAGAAGGGTGTACCAGCTCTATTTTCACTGCCTACTAGTGGTCAAAAGGATGAACTGCACCAGTGTGGCCAAGCATAGGGACACCACTCAATGTCAGATAATAATATAACAACCATGCAGTTATTGGGTCGCCTGATATCTGCACTTAGCAAGTATATTGAGGGAGAAAACTGATTTACAGGCAAGTGTTCTGATGGCATTTCAGTTGGTGACTAACTACGTGTTAAGATCCTGATTTTGAAGACCACCCGGAGATGAGTCAAAGAGCATTTAATCGAGTGAGTGTGAGCCGAGAATTTCAAGTAAATTCATGTCTGAGTGAGCATGTTGCGCTAGACAGGCTGGCGGCTGCTGGGATTGGCCGAAAACCCAGAGGGCTACATCAGGACCTCAGATAGGGGCTTAGTGCTGGGAACCAAGCCGCCAGGAGAAGCCCATCAGTGCTCCATATAAATGACAGCAGGGGGGCCAGACCTCCAACCCTCCGCAATTCAGCGGGTCTATCTTAAAAGTCACGGGGGGTAATTTGGGGGGAAAAAACAGAAAACATATGGGACTGAAAATAAAGGCAGGGGAGATTTCCCTAGTCTGTATGGGCACGGCGATTCCGAGAATATGCAAGATTGTTCAGGGTCATTTCAACATTCCATCACTTAGAATACAAATTTAGATCCAGCTTGGAGGTAATTACACAGTTACAAATGTCCCTCACACTGAAAAGGGCGACTCACAATAGTCCAAAGCCAAACATTAATAATAAACAGATAGCCTTTAAATTAAACCGTTTATTAAGAAACTTTTCCAGTGTAAAAATACAGCCACAATATATGGTACAGTTAATCCGAGGCATGCGCATGGTGCAAGACGAGATGGAAACTGGTTTTTAAACGGATTAACGAAGCAACAGGTTTTAAAGTGTAATTACATACCTGAGAATAACTAAACATGCCCGGGATGCGAATCGACAGATGAAAACCAAGGCAATCATTTAAATAATGCAAGAAAGAGAAATCACACATCATAATTAACACCAGATGCCTGAATACTGCAGAACTAATGTAAGGTACAGTGTTAAGCGGGTTCTGCAGATCCAAGCCAGTCATAGCAAGCGACAGTCTGCACTGTGACATAATTCTTCAGCTATCCTTTCCAGTACATCTTTCCACAGGTATGTAGACACTGTATCTACTGGAAAGCGCACACACACACACACCCACACACACACACAAGCATGCACACACCTTTATGTATGCCGTTCCTGCTGGCTGAGATGCAGAGATGCAGCGTCGTCAGTGATCGGTTTGAGAGTCAAACACTTGCTCGAATGTGCACACGCACCTGAAGGTGCTCCCAGGCCCTTCATTTTTCACAGCTGATGACTCATGAAGACACCTGCATATCTTCTGAAAGTGAGGCCTCCAGGTTTGACCCAAGACTTCTCTTTTTCACACCAGGAAGAACAGCAGAACTTCAGCTTGAAATCCTCGAGCATCTATGGGGGATCTATGGCATACTGGTGGTATGCAGCACATGACCTTTGACCTCTGAAGCAGCAACCCATGTGACAACCCACAAATATACATAGTCAGCATACATGGACAAGATATGCATTACAGCTATAAAATGAAGCCTGACTCGTATGTAACAACAAAGGGGAATGGGGCGCCATGAAGACAAGCACCAGGAGATCAAAGACCGGCAGTTCCCTTAAACATCGAGAGTTTGAAATGATCACACACAATCTGGCAACCACACGTTACTGGGAGGGGTGGGGTTCCTCATCACTGAAATGTCCACCTCCACCTGTGCAGGGGTCAGGTTTCCACACCAGGGCAGCGCAGAGCAGAGCCTAGCTCCAGGAACTGGAGGGCCGTAGGACCCAGGGGGAGTTCATGTGATGGGTATCCCCACAGTCAAAGTGCCAGCTAAGTCCAAGACCAGTGTTTCCCAATCGGTCTTCAGGGGCCGGCAGACAGTCTATGTTTTTACTCCATCCCAACTCCCGGAAACAAAAATGTGTACTGTCAGGCAGGGAGCTGGGAGGGAGCAGAAACGTGGACTGTCTGGCTGGGAGATGGGAGGGAGCAGAAACGTGGACTGTCTGGCAGGGAGCTGGGAGGGAGCAGAAACGTGGACTGTCTGGCAGGGAGCTGGGAGGGAGCAGAAACATGGACTGTCTGTGGGCCCCTGACCAGGTTGGGAAAAATTGCCCAAGACTCATCTAGTACTGGAGGACCCAGGTCCACCCTTGGGTGCAGGAAACCTCAAAACCCCATGAGCACATCGCGCTCCTGGACGCTGGTGTAGAAGGGCTTCCCGAAGACGAAAGAGTGCAGGCCGGACTTGAGCTTCTCAGCCAGGGCCATGATGATGTTCAGGTCGCCCTCGGAGGTCAGGTCCAGGTCCGTCTTCAGGCTGCGCAGCGAGCGAAAAGGCTTCTTCCCCTTCTGCCTGCAGAGGGACGGAGAGCGGACCTGTCAGAATGTCAGCTGCCGGGGTCCGAGAGACAGCCCTCCTACACACAGCTGAAACACAACCACACCGACCCCTCCCACTGCCAAATGAGTGTTATTCTGGGAGAAACACTGACACAGTTACGTGTACGGCCACCTGTTCCGGGCCTGAAACTGGGTATATTTTTTCACTGTTAGTTTAGTTAGCTGTAGACCAGATATTTGTGGATGGTCTCAGATGACAGAAAAGCATGTAAGAATTTTACAAGATTTAACTTAAAATCAGAATTTAAGTTATTAAAAAAATTATTATAATTCTGTTTTGTAATAATAATAATAATAATCTTTACATGTGACACTAAAAAATGGACGAGTTGGCTTTTGAAAGGAGGGAATGCGCAACGACTCACGTCTCGTCCTCGATGTACTTCAGCAGTGTGAGGGCCTTCCTGTGCAGCAACAGCAGGAACTGGGCCAGGTAGGTACTGCGCAGGGACAGGCCCGGCTTCAGCAGGAACACCTATGAGGGGTGAGCCCAACGTGAGTGACAGCAGCATCGGCTAATCACTAATGGGATCTAAAATCGAGGTGGAGTCAGGACTCTCGGGCAGGGGTGGAGCTATGGACATGGGGACATAAGAAAAAGACTGGAATCTACTGAAGGAGGGCGTGGCCAAATAGAAAGGGCACAGCTTACTGAAATGAGGGGGCGGGGCTTACAGCTGGTAGACTAATCAGGAAAGGGACATATATATGGCATATATATATATGAGAGGGGAGGAGCAACACAGAAAAGGCATCACTGACAGGCATAACCAGCCAACCCCCCCCCCCCCCCCAGTAGGCCCTCACCTCGTCCAGAAAGCCCATCACCAGGGTGTCCTTGTGCATGACATCCTGGAAAATGTTCCTGAAAGACACAAAGACTGTCATCTAAAGGTTCCTCTTCCCGGCTCTGTGCACAATTGGCCCCTTAAGCCACAGGCTGCCCAGGCTACAGATTAGTAGTGAGCATCTCCAGCCAGCACGAGAGCTCACAATCATTCACGTTTTTACACGAAAATGAAGCTGCATCTGATGTAATTTCCTACAACGAGAAACACGACGGACTTCCTCTGAACAATCCAATTAAGATATAATGTGTGTTCGTAAAAATGTACCCTAGAATCTCTAGAAGGTTTTTTTTCCAGAATTATTGATTCTTTTATAATAAAAAAACACGTCATATCAGCAGCTGTCAACTCCGTCCTCGACCCCTCTGCCGATTTACACAGCTGATTTGGTTTGTCTAGCTAACCAACTCTTTGATTTACTGCAGTGTTTCCCAACTCGGTCCTCAGGGACCCAGAGTCAGACCATGTTTTTGCTCCCTCCAAGCTCCCTGCCAGACTGTCCACATTTTTGCTCCCTACCACAAGCTGAGGGAGCAAAAGCATGATCTGCCCCTGGGACCCTGCAGAACTGCTTGGGAAACACTGATTTATGGGGTTCGAGCGGCCAGTGGCGTTGGAAGCTCTTGTGGCGCGCTTAGCCAGCTGCACCCCCCACCCTGGCAAACTGCAGACGGGACCGGTGGGGGCTCGGGGGCCAACGTACAGGTCAGGCGTGAAGGTCTCGTCGGTGTGGATGACGGTATCGGGCAGCACGTCGTCCTCGCCGGCTGCCTTCCAGAGCGCGCCCAGCTCGGCCCGCATGTAGCGCCGCTGCGTGTACACATGCTCGTGGCACGGAGGCATCTGTTTCACCGTGTTCACGTCCACGTCGATATGCGTGGTGGGGTACGGCGAGTACAGCACCTGCCGGAAGGGCAGCACAAAGCTGCCCGTCGAGTCCTGCCGGGCCAAACCATTCAGTGTTTGTCTTTATAGCGCCTTTCACGGTGCCCCAAGGAGGAGCAGCAGTTGTACTAAATGGTTCATGATACAGAGATAAAGGGAAGACAGATGGAAATTGTCGGAAAACAGAGGAGGAGAGGAGACCTTGCAGGCTCAAGCGACTGAGCAGATCAGGCCACGAGGCTGGGATACACACGCGCACACACACACACACACACACGCGCACACACACACACACACACAGACACGCACACACACACAAACACGCTGTACAGATACTCCAGCATGACAGCTTACCTTGAGCAGACCCTGAACGAAGAGTCCGGTGTCGTAGGAGAAAGAGCCGTCGCTTTTGCAGAGACGAGAGCACCGGCGCTCCGTGGGCGTGAGGAACAGGCACAGTGTGCGGACGATCTGGGGGGAGGACGGTTACTAGCATGAGGGTCGGGGGCAGGAGAGAGGAACAGCTGGACCCGGTTATAGGCGATTTATACAGTAGAGGGCAGTGTTGCGCTCATACCTTGTTGACTTTGTCTGGGTTGCTCCCAACCACCATTGAGCAGCCGCAGGTCTGCAAATGAGAGCTGATGGCCCTGCCAGAGAGAGGCGGGAAAGGCTTAGCGCCCACCGGGCCCCGGTGAGCCTGGAGCCTGTCCAGGAAGCATGGTGGGGAGCGTAACCAAACGCGCTCAGACAGCATGCATCGCTAGGACATGCCATTAACCTGGCTGTGTAGCATCTGGACCGCAGGAGTGCAACACAGGTGATAAACTGAACTGCTATTTACATGGATTCATTTAGCAAAATGACGGACAAGTGAGGATCAGCCAGCATACCTGGAGTGAAGGTGATATGATTACACTGCCGGCCATGGGATTTGAGCCCAGGACGTTCCGGACACAAGTACAGATTGCTAACCTGCTGAGCTATACGGTTCACCTTATGTTTACGTTTTCTAAACTGAATAAAGTGAAAGGTGACTTCCTGAGTCGAGCTCTGCTCGAGCGCTGGGGTGCACTTTACTGAGGATAGGGCGTTTAAGGAGCTGTGACAGGCCGCCCAATGGGATGGAAGGTGCTGTGATAGGCCTCTCAATGGGTCCTGAGGCAAGAGACGGAGGCAGGTGACATCACTCTGCTGACCCTGGGATTTGAACCAGCAACCTTTCAATCACAGGCACTGTATCTTAACCCACTAAGCTACTCACCAGCCCCCTAAAGGGAAAGCACAGGAGGCTGGTTTATGGAAGTTTCTGGGTTAGTGTTTCCTCAGTGGGCGGGGGCGTTAGCACATTAAGGGAGCTGGGGGGGGCATGCATCTTACTTGTGCAGGAAATCTTCGTGACAACTGTCCCCGATGTCATCGTCATGCAGGACCGTGTCCTTAATCTGAAACATACCAAAATAAACAAATAAAATAAATAAATAACAATGATAATAATAAGATGAGCTTAAAGCATCAAACATTAGACAAGGTCAAGCAGAAACACATCAGAAAGATCAGTCTTCAGGGGTTTAAGTCAGAGAAGTTTGGTTACAGTTTAGCCTGCATTCGCCAATAAAAAGAATTTTGGACCAATTTAGACGGGACCAAAGAGATGGCACCACACAAGGCATTAAGGCGTGTTCAGCTGAACACTAAATAACCGTTTAGCAACATAAAGATGTTAAACACCCAACCCTGGGCTAAACAAATTTAACGGGAGGCTGGACTCTCCTGTGGAACAGGAAGCTGAGATGCACACCCAGAAGCAGTAGCCAGTGTAAGCAGTGTGTTAAAGCGGCACTGCACACCAGGCAGTAACCACGGGAAACCGCCGGATCTCTGAGGGGGTCGGCAGGCGAAATCCTCCTCACTAAGGCCCCCACCTTCTGACGGCAATCTCTCCACCGGCAAAGCTAATCGCACGCCTCCAGTCAAACAACCAGGAACAGCTACTATTTACTGTAATAAATCAATTCAATTAAACGTATAAATCTGTGTGGGGAAGTAGCCCATAAGCCTGGGATTGGACCCTTTTATTGCAGTACGGTTTAAAGGATTACCCCAGCAAATTCTCCTCCTTTACACTGCCAACCTGAATTTAAGCTTGGAGATAACAGAGACAGCACTGAAAACATGCATTTGGACTAAGAAAGGAAACACAAGTCAGCATGCAAATAACATACCAAAGATAAGACGATACACTAGAGATGTTCAGGACCAGAAAGTACAACCAACCAGTTGAGGAGTTCCAGTCTGTTAGTTGGAACAAAATCATGGTCTGCACTTTTACTGCCTGGACCAGAACTATCCAAATCTGCGATACACTGAAATGAATATGGACCTGAATATTGCCCCCTATCGTATGGAGTCTGCAACATGATCCCACGTGTCTAACACTGTTCGATCTCAGTGGCAATCGTGGTGTCAATCAAATGTGACAAGAAAAATAAATCAAGAAAATCTGTATCAAATTGCAATTTCTGCTGAAAATGGTTCCCTTGATTCCCGTAATTCAGCGTTTCTCAGATGTTGGGATTAAGTACCTTCGGATCAAACCAAAGCAGTCAAGTGCCAAATGGGTGAGTAAGTCACAGTAACAAATTCCCATGGTCTTCTGCCACACCACCAGGGGGCGCCCGACATACGGCAGGTTAATCCGGCTATCGGACGGGCCAAGCCATAAACATTAACATTCTTTTAACATTCATTCAGGTTGCAGGAGGGTCATATTTACCATAAATGAACAAAATATTAATTACATTCTCTGAAACGTGAACATATTTCAAGATTCATTTTACGTCGGGTACAAATTAGCAGACTAGCCTCTCATTGCGGGGTCCATTTGTCTTAAGCAGCAATGGAGACAAAAAAAGGTCAAAATCAAACAAGGAGAATGAAAAACAAAGAGAAAAAGGGATGGGCAAAAAAGTTAAATGGGGGATTGATTTTGTGAGCTAGTTAACCATGTCGAGTCAACTGCTGGGTTTCTCGTATATGACACAACATTAGTTTTTTTTTTTTATTGTTTGTATTTAGGAATTTGCAGTGACTTTAATTTTGAAGAGATAACCATTTAGCCTCAATACGGCAGCCTTTGTTGTGACCGCTGAGCGCATCAGACTTTATTACTTATTTACTTTGTGCAGGGTCAGGACTGATCATTATTACTGGCGTTTACACTGTTTGTGTCTGGGAAGTTGCAATGACAGTCAGGATTGTAGTTTGAAGGGATTAAAGAAACTTGGGATAATGACTGTTGCTATCTTTATTTCACCAAAAAGGAAGAACTTTTACTTGAAATAAATGATGATGATGATTTGGGTCTCCAAATCAGAGGAAAACACTGGCTGGGGGGGTGGGGGGTAGACGATTTATGCGTGTGTGTAGATTTGGACGACTTCAGAGCCCATCTACACATCACTATTTCAAAATAAATGGGTTTTAAATAAAAGGTTTGCCTATCAGAACGAGAAGCAGAGACTCACGTCGATGTCCTCCGGGACACTGTGGGTCTTCATGGAGGACAGCAGCTCCATAATGGGGATGATCTCCGACGTCAGCACCGACACAATGTTGTAACCCTGGAGGATTAATCACAGTCAGTCGCCGGTTACCCCGGCAACCACGCAACATCAGCAGCTTTTTAAAGTGCCTAGCACATCCAGTTTTAAGGAATCTCACCAGAGCAAGGGTAAGATGGTGATAGCCAGCCGTGAAAATGCCCCCCCCCCCCCAGGAACGCAGTACCTGGGCTAAAGCATCGTGACAGCTTCCATCCATCTAACCCAGAGCACTAAGACACCCGTGAGGATGATAGATCCTCCATTCGGGCACATTCATCTACCTCACAGCTGATCTTAGAAACAAGTGTAATTCACCATTCCCTGCACTAGAGGGCGTCCAGGCATTCCAGTACACCTACACTGTACGTTTACTATAATATATTACACGGGGACCATTCAAATTAAAGACAGACTTATCAACAGATGTGTTAAATGTACTTATGGAGTTTTTTCACCCTCTCCATTGCTTCCTGGAGTTCCAGTAGCCAAACACTAACACTAAACGATATTAACTGTAGTTGTTAATGTTGTTTAGACTGTCAATTTTCACATCCTTGAATAAATTTTAATTTTACTCAGTTGTCTGATGCTTTTATCCAAAGGGACTTACAGTAGAGGGAAGGGCTACAACTAATTTGTGATCCCTGGGCTTTGAACCTTTGACCGTTGCATCGATAGCACAATGCTCTACTTGTTAAGCAATGGTGCCAAGTCTCCATTAATCACTCTGAAAGGATATATGAGGCTTAGCAGACCTATGCAGCTGTGAGGATGACCCCGATGTTAGCGCTAGTGTTCCAGCACGTGTGCAGGATACAGAGTTAGCTGTGACAGCGATGCCATGCCCGAGGACAGCCCCACCTTCTGCATCCAGATGCGGCCCTTCCGGATGCTGTGTTTGAGCCTGTCCACGCAGATGGCGTGCAGCGGTAGGTAGAAGCCCAGCTCGGCCTGCGGCAGGATGACGGAGAGGGCGCAGGTGTTGCGGTCGCCTTTCAGCTCGCCGTCGAAGATGAGCGACACTATGACCACGCCCTTCTCCGAGAGCACGAAGAACTTGACGTCGACGGCACCGCTCTCGGCACTGCGCAGGATCTCGCCGTTCAGCGTGTGGTTGGCCAAGAAGGTGATATCGCCGTCACCCAGTTGCACCGCCAGCGCCGGGGGGCCCCGGGGAGCCCAGATGTGCCGCACGCGCGGCCCCAGGATGTTGTCCCAGTAGGCAAAGGTGGCGGCTAGCAGGGGACAGGCCCCATCAACCGCCACCTCCGTCTTGGCCACGGCCGGGGACTGCGGGGGGCAGCCCGACGACATCTCCTGGGGGGTGTCTGGAGCCTGCCTCTGGATGGGGGTCTCCACACCAAGCTGTCTCTGGGGGTGAGATTAAAAATGTTAACATTTCCAATATCCTGGAGGAAACTGTTTGTAGTCAAGGGCATAGGAGAGAGTTTGACATGGGGGGGTGGACAGCTGCATAATGGGGGTGAGGGGAAGCTAAATGAAGGCACACCCCCCTGCTTGTAGTTACAGACTGCACAGTTCACGGTTATACAAAAAGACCTCACACACACACAGACACACCAATTTCTATATAAAGTTTAAGAAGTGTAACACATCAAAATGGTAATAAGTTAATAAGAAAATTGGTAGGTTAATTCAGAACAATTCAGAAATAAAGAAAAAGAAAAATCAAGCGAGTCTTGGCACCCATATTACTGCCATCCATGTCATATTTGAACCTTATAGAGCATTTGCAATGATGATATGCTCGCATTCACTCAACTCTAAAAAAACTTTTAGCTGCTTCGGTTGCAGCTGTTTGTAGCTCACCCTGTAAATCTTTCGTAAGATGCCTGTCCCGTTATATAAACTTTAGCGAAAGAGAGGACATTACTCCGTGTAAGTGTACATCTCCGAGGCACTACGCAGGCGTCGCATTACCGAGGACATGTGGAGAGAAAGCCTTCATAAGCAAACAGACGGCGGCTCCATTTCTGCTTACCATACTGGCCGTTTACAGGGAAAAGGACGTGTTGCATTGTGTCTTTAGGATCGTTTCAGTAATTATAAGAAATGTATGCCTGTATATATGTATTCATATATCTTGGTTATCTAAACATCATTTTCAATGCATGTAAACCTCAGGAACTTCACTTGACTCTAAATGCGGATATTGGAGAAAATCCCTGCTTTATTTTGACTAGCTACCTGTTTAACACTGAGGGGAGCAAGCTGCTTCACGAAAGTAACGGCATCTCCGGCTTTAGTATTACTCAGTCGGCACACAAACGTGTTTAACAGAAACGTTTCGAGCGATCGACTGTTATATTTTTGAATATCACGAATGTCATGGTACTTACAGCGTGAAAATACCGGATTAATAGCCCACTTCGGTTTTTCCACCGTTAACAGCGCGTCCTTGTCCTTCATTTCCGCAACACTTCCTGGTGTGACGTCACAGCCCGTAAAATAAACACGAGCCGCGGCGCCGTCGCCCCCTGCCGGCCGCTGGACGTATCGCCCGACATGAAACATACGGCGCTACGTGGAAGCATGTCTCTACCACGAAATCGTGGCGTGTTCTCATTACCAGCCTCCATAGGGATAGAACAGGCGACAGGGGGCTGTGGTCTCAGTCTGCCAACAAGCCTGGGTTTAGAAGCTCCATTTTCCCATTATTGTTTTTCAGTGGATGCATTTGTCAGTCTGTGGCAGCCACACACAGAGCTGACTCATTTTTGCTCCTGGGTTAACAGCTCATGTATATTCAGTTGCCACTTTATTAGATACACTTAGGTAATACTGGGCAGCACCCACTTTTTCCTCCAGAGCTGATTCAGCAGCAGGCAGGTTGTGTGCAGAGAAGCCATTAAGCGTACTACTGCTGTATCGAGCTGTTTATTAGTGCTTGTGGCCTTCCTGTTAGCTTTAATGACTCTGGCTAATCTCCTCTGATCTCTTTCACTAATGTTTCTTTCTTTTTTGGCCATAGAAAGGCCATTTACTGAATGCTTTTATATCCATCACACCATTTTCTGTAAAATCTGGATGCTGTAGTGTGTGAGAGTGCCGGGTGGGAGGCCGTCTGACATGCGGGATGCTGGAGCCGTCAATTACGGTACCAACCTTCACACCACATTCAAAAACAACTGGGATCGGGCATCTCAGCCATTCAGCTCATTACGTCAACGAAGCAGTGACCCTTCCATATTAAACTGGCCACTGAAAGTGTGTCTTGTATGCGTGTGTGTGCATGTGTGGATTAGGATTATATTACATTGTGGGGACCAAACGTTCCCCACAATGTAATACAAACCTGTCCAGGTCCCCACAAAGGTCTGTGAATGCAATCAAAAAAGTAAAAGTGAGAAAAAAATCTTGTATTTTGTTTGGTTACTTATGGTTAAGGTTAGGGCTGGGTAGGGGTTAAAGTCGTCATGTTGGGATTACGGTTATACCCATAGAAATGAACGGGAAGTCCCCACAAAGATATAATTACAAACCTGTGTGTGCGTGTGAAAGCACATACCATGCAGCTCAGGAGTGTCAGCAAGCTGTCAGACATGCAGTTGCGCTTTTGCGTGTAGCAGAGTGCCCAGTGGAAGCTGAAATGACACAGGGAGAACATGCAAACTCCACACACACTAAAAGGCAGATGTGAGCCCCCAAAGCTGCAATTGTGAGGCAGGACTCAGCCACAGTGCCTGCATTTTTAAGACAGAATAAAAAGAGCCAGATACCATGTCAGGCAAGTCATTGACAGCAGTATACGATCTGAAGATTATTCAGCCTTCCAATTACACGATGGTTCCCTGTTTTCAGTATTCCCCAAGAGCAGCCGTCTTCTGGGAGCAGATTGAATGTTTCACTGGAAATCCAGTTTAATTGCTTTCCCATCCATTGCGAAGGCCTCCTCTTTCTGTTCAGAGGCTCGAGGTGCGGCCATTTCCGAGTGAATGAGATGCGTAGTTCCTGGAGGTAATTACTGGCAGTAATGGAAAGTAGCATGCGCACCGATGCTCTGAGCGGCTCTGGATCTCCGCGCCTTACCAAGCTCCCGATGCTCTGAGCGGCTCTGGATCTCCGCGCCTTACCAAGCTCCCGATGCTCTGAGCGGCTCTGGATCTCCGCGCCTTACCAAGCTCCCGATGCTCTGAGCGG